GTTTGAACACATGAAACAACAACAATCATGCTATTTATGCTATCTACGCACCATACTAGACAGTATGCACCGGATCGTGAATACCGCTGTTGTGTTCATTCGTTATGTAGAAGCAAATGCAACACAAAAAATTAAAAAAAATCCATGGTAATTGTTAGCCACTTGAAACTGGCCCATTATTACAATAGAATTCAATGGGCTATAAAAGTGTATACTCAAAAAAATATAACACTTCTGGGAAAAAAAATTTGAAATTTGGGTGAAAATTTGTTGGATTTTTTTAGTTTTCTACAAAGAGCGTGTGTGAATTGGTAACAAAGTTCGCGGCGAGTAAATTTTTGACCACTATGAGGTGAATAAAATTTCAGTAGCTTATGAGAGGCTAATGAAATTTTTGACAAATGCATAGAAAGTTTTGACAATCGCAAATATTGTTAATGTGTGTAATTTTTCGTTAACAAAAAAGCTTTAACTGATAAATTGCAGTCAACGATGGTAGATGCTTTCTTAAAATATTAATTTCCCCTCAAATTGTAATATTTTATGCCGCATAAATCTGCGGTTATCAAAAATTTATTGCTGTCAAAAAAGATTTAATTTCACACAGCAGATTGGGAAAACTGTCTCACCATAGTAAAAATATTATTCAACAGCTCTCCCCATAGAACTTTGTTACCGATTCACACACGCCCAAAGTTTTAAACTTAGGCTTATTTGAGTTTTGTTAGAGAAAGAACTGCGTTTTAATTGAAAATGCTTAAAGATTAAATAAACATAAATGGCAAACAATATCGCTTTGAAATTGGGGTGCAAATGATATGACCGATACTGTATGTACATACATATGTAAGTATACGAACTTAGATATGTATGAAAATTCATTAACGTTTACAAGTTAAATGCACTTGAAAATTTAGCAATGAAGTTTGAAGTAAACATATGTTTATTTCAAAGACTTTTTGACCTTTTTAAGAATGTTTAGACATTGTTTTTGGCAAGCATTTTATCATTTCTCCCTCTTAATTTTTCTATTTCTGCATTGTCAATGAATGCATAGATACATATACATATGTACTAAGCAAATTTAGCATCAGCCACTTACATACATACATAGTGAACTGTCGTAAATAGGAAGTAAATAAATTTGTCAACTATGCTCTAAGAAAAAAAATCTATCACTAATTAAAATTGATGTAAAGCAAAGAGGCAATTTAGCAAGCTTCCCTGCCACCATTTTCTATCGCAGAAGTTACTGGTTCGATACGCCATATGATATCGTTCTTCAACTTCTTATATGGCACTACAGCCGTTCGTCGGTTTGGGCCGAGACCAAAAAGCTTCGACTCTCACACCTGCTCCCAGAGAGCACTCTTCAACAAACCCACATATGCGAGCTGTGGAACCAAATTTCCCGCTCCGCCGAAGAAGTAGCCGGACTTCAGAGAGCCCGAAAAAACAACTGGTACGATGAGGAATGTCAAGAAGCTGCCAAGAAAGTATATCCCGCCTACAGGGCCACGATGCGATCAGATGCAAACTCCTATAATAACACCCATGGCGATCTAGGGACCGATGGAGGGAACGCTTGTCCACCCTACTGAATGGTAGCGGCATTGAAAGTTGTGCAGAAGGCGAACCCAATCCCCTAGTCGATGACGATGGAGTCGATGTCCAACCGCGTACTCACGGTCACGTCATACTCATGACGAGGTACTAATAGCGATTATGCGGCTGAATAACAACAAAGCTGCTGGAGCTGACGCACAGTGTCCCATTGGAAAAATTAAAATAAAGTGCTTAGAATAGTTAAGTAATATACATTTTTGTAATTTATCTTCTCCTCCTTTTGCTAACAGCAGAGGGCGCTAAAGTCAGAAAATTTCTGAGGTTGAACGGAAAAGCGACTTTTACTGTGTTCCAAAAAAAAAAAACAATCCAAAAATTCAGTTATTAGTTTATTATTTTGAAACTTAATAGTTTGGTTTACTATTATTCGTACAAAAAATATAAATAATTTTTGGTAAATTTTTTGATGAAAAGGTTGTTTGTGCTAACGAAAACTTTTGAGATATTTTTATTGGAATTCCCAAAATTGCTAAAGATTGATAGAGTTAAATTAAACAAAAAAATAAGAGTAGCTAATTTTTTATTTACTTAGCTAGTTTTCTTAAGTTTCAGAAAAAGTTACAAAGAGCTAAGTTTATAGTATTGCCAAAATTGAAAAAGTAAGGTATTATATTTAATATAAATATAATATAAATAAATTTAAATGAACTTAGTTTTGATTTAGTGCATGATTTTTATTAAATAGCGACAAACAATAAAAAAAAAATCCCCCCACGACACCAACCACCCCTTTACATGCCAGCTCAATCCGACTCAGCTGACAGCCCTCTCCCTCTGGTCCGAACCCATTGAAACAGCTCGTTTCCTGGGCCTCCCGTTAGTTGAGCTTGACGAAAATGATTGAACGTAGACCCGAAAAAGGCGGCGCTTAGTAGTGCCGCTACAACAACAACAACAACCACAGACCAGGTATTCACAATACGCCAAATCTTGGGAAAGACCCGCGAGAAAAGGGGTTACAGACAGGGCGAACCCCTTTATGTGACTTCTTTAATCTGATGTTGGAGAAGATAATAAGAGGCCAGGCGCGTCCGATTGCTGGCGTATGCCAATGACACGGATATCATCTGCGGTGTTGTGTTTTCATTTACATGCCACTCTGGTAAGACAGATCGTGTCAGCTGACTCGGGTTTACGTACCGGTAGGTTTACGTTCTTGACTAATTCAACTTCATGGAAATTATTGCGTCGTCAAACAGGGCAAATTTATGATCGACCCTAATAGTAAACATGTGATAGAAATGTCAAAAAATATAAACAAACTTCTACGATCCTGAATTTGGCAATTTCGTTTCGCTTGGTTTATTTAAAAACAGTTTAATAATTTATAGATTCATAGCAAAATGAGTTCACGCAACCGAGGCCGTGGAAAACGAGGGGGCGGTACGCGTGGACAATACCGTAATGTTAAGAGTAATCGCAATTGTGAGCGCAATTTCGCGCAGCGCGCATCTGAACTAGCCGGTGATGAGGAGAATTCAAACAGCGGCGATGACGGTGACAGCAGCTCATCATCTTCCGACGCAGGTATAGATGGCATTGGGCGACCACCCAACTTTCCCATAGCCATGTGGGACCTAACCATTGCGACCCAAAGAAATGTTCGGGGCGAAAGTTGGCACGTTTAGGACTGATCGAAAACCTTCGTTTGGGCCAGAAGTTTCCTGGTCTGGTGTTAACACCAGTAGGGGTGAGCTGTGTTAGCCCCCTTGATAAGGAAATTGTTGAAGCAGCAGGTGTAGCAGTGGTCGATTGTTCTTGGGCTAAACTGGAAGAGACACCATTTAATCGCATGCGAAGCCCACATCCACGTCTACTGCCATATCTTGTGGCCGCGAACCCAATTAACTACGGGAAACCCTGCAAATTGAGTTGTGTCGAAGCGATTGCAGCTACACTGTATATTTGTGGTTACGTGGCAGAAGCGCAATGGTACATGGGCAAGTTCTCGTGGGGACACTCATTTATTGAACTCAATGAAAGCTTACTTAAAAAGTATGCTGAATGCAAATCTAGTGAGGAAATAGTCAGGGTACAAAATGACTACATAGAGCAAGAGAAAGCAGCACATAATAAACCAAAAGATTTTAGTGAATTCTATCCTACAAGCAGTAGTAGCGAAGAGGAGGAAAAAGACCACGATAATGGGGCTAGCATAAGCGGGAAAAAATAATGAATTGACGTGAGTTTGTTTTATTTTTTTATATTTAAATACAATATCTCTAAAAAACAACAAACATTGGTTTTAAATAGCTTAATATTTAGGGAGTGTATTTACACACGTCACAGTACCTTTTACCGTAGATGCACGGTAAAAATAACGTATATCCGGTAAAAATTACCGTGGTTAGACGATCCACGGTGATTTCGAAGAGTGTCTGTTTGCCGAAAATCCATGTCAAAAAATTGGATCACTGGTTTGAATCGACGATAATCCATATAAGCGTAAAGTAATCTTTTTTTTAAACGACATCTAAACAAGGGCGAGGACATGCGACATATATGTTTATATACATACATATATATGAATTTGTAAATTCAATGTTTTACGCAGAAAGAAGTTCCGCTCCACTTTTCTGGCAACCCAGAAAGGAGAACTTGCGTAGTAACCCAGTAGCTAATTTCAGGAGTTAAAAGCCCTTCCGAAAGGCCCTCTTGAGAAGCAAGATTAAAGGGCTTCTTATTTCGCTACCCATGACAGGATTTCCAGAAGAGCTTTTATAGAACGTACTTCAGAAGGCCATAAAGAAAGAAGTTCCGCCTCACCTTTTCGGCAACACAGAAAGGAGAATTCTCCATAGCAAGGGTTATAATCCCTATGCGCGGCCGAAGGCCCCCTATGCAGTAAGAAGTTCCGCCTCACTTCTCCGGGAACACAGAAATAATTCTGCGTATTAAGGGTAATAATCCCTAAGCGCGGCCAAAGGCAGCTACGCAGAAAGAAGTTCCGCCCCTCTTCCCCTTAATCCTCTCTACCCCGAAAATCGGAGGTCTTTAAGGATCTACAATAATTTATACCGGTAATTATTACCGTGGATATACCGTAAAATACGGTGGATATACGGTATTTTTACCGTGGATCTGCGGTAATTTTTACCACGGATATGCGGTAAATTTTACCGTGGTATACGGTAATTTTACCGTGGATATAGGTACGGTAATTTTTTCCGTGGATATATGGTAATTTTTTCCGTGGAAATACGGTAATTTTTTCCGTGGATATACGGTAATTTTTTCCGTGGATATACGGTAATTTTTTCCGTGGACATACGGTAAAAGTTAGCGGGCGCGTGTGTATAGATTTGCCAAATATTTAAAGACATCGAAGAGTGCTTAAAGTTTATTAGATTTTTATTCTAGTTTAAAAACTCAGCAGAACATTTTCATATACATACATATAAACTACAATGTAATTTTATTATAGAATACAGAATGATGTCTACATTTGGCAATACATATATTGAAGAAAACATACCACGTTAAAATAAAAATGCGTGATTTCACTACAAAGAATCCCTTTACAAAAGTTGTATTAGTACGCTAGTCGTACTTGCATCACATTAAAATAGTTAAATGAAGTTATATGAATATGCGAATGAGATTAAATGATAAAATCCTTTTATTTTTCTTCCAATCCCACTAGTCAAAATTTTACCGTCTCCGTTCGTACAACTTCAGATCCGCAACAAATTTAAAATCATTGAGTGTTGCGATGATACTCCGGACTAACATTGACAAAGTTTGTCATACTGAAGTAAGTGGCACTATTCTTTACAAGAAATTTTAGAAAGTCATGTAGGTGTACCAGTAACATCTGCATCGACTTTTCGTCCAACGCGGAGAATCCTAACATTGATCCCAGCTTAACGAATAGACGTAACAAATGAAATCCGCCATAGAGCTTAGAGAGTGATGTTTCTGGATGTTGTTGCAATATTTCCGCATATTGAGGTCTTTCGAATTTATAGAGCAATTGTGAGCCAAGCATGACATTGAAGTACTCGACAACTCCATTTAGTACATCGTTAATGGCTACTTCCTTGGAAGCATTTGTCGACTTGGAGGTCTTCTTAAAGGCAATGTATTGGTCAACAATATCCTGTACAGTGATTTTTGCTGGAATGTCAAGTAATTTATGCTGCCGCGTAATAGCATCCCAGTCATCAGCAAGGCATTGTTTTAGTTCATCTGGTATTTTTATTTTCACCTCCACTTTAGAGAGGAATGTTTCTTCGGATTCCACGCATGTGTCCAAACGAGTGTGACTTGCCGCAGGAGTAATACTCGTACTTGCTGTGGTAGCAGGTGTGCTAGTTACATTGGTACTTGTGCCAGCTGCACTACAATTGGATTTATCGCTAGCATTTGATGTAGACCCTCCACGTTTCTTTTTTGGTGGTTCATCTTTGGCTGCGTCATCCTTATTAGCGACAATTGTAGCACCTGTTTCCTCTTTTGTTACGGTTCCAGCATCACTATCTTTGGCAATTGGGGTACTAGTAGCTGGTTTTGTCCGATTAGCTCTACCTGTGGTTGAAGGCGCTGCCAATGGTGTAGTGTTCAACTCTTTTGATGGTGTGGAAGCGCGTGATTCACTACTACCGCTAGCGGTGCCATCCTTTGATGCGGTTCCTATGGTGGCCTCACCTTTTTTGCCCTTTGGTGTGCCTAAATATTGTAATTAAACTAACTTATCGGAACTCTGCTTATTTACATACATATATGTTTGGCTTTTTACCTTTCTTATTTTTCCCAGCAGAATTAGAATGCAGCTTGTATACCTCTTTCTGACGCTGTACGTTAGCTTCATTGTACTTCAGTACACGGTTTTCCAGGGACCCACTCATCCCAACTGTGTATGAGAAAAATGATTATTAAACTTAAAATATTGCTTTATGAAGCTTGTTTTCTTGTTTACTTTTTGTTCCAACCAGCGTAGTGAATGTAGTATTTTATTTGCTTATCCTTTGTAATTGTGCTTTTCAATGCTTTGGCTTCATAAATAAGTGGCCCATGGAAGCATAGCACTTTTTCGCCTATAGATGCGGAAAATAAATATTAGGAAATTACTTATATGGAGCCAACTGTACTGCCACTGAACGCTTCGGTATGCCAAAATACTTACCTTCAGCGAATTTATGTTTAGGTGTCATTCACTTTGGGTAGTTATTTTGAACAGTTTTATGAAAATGCGGGAGGAAAAACGTATTGATATTTTAGTTTATAGTTTGTTGTTTTGTTGGCGAAAGCGATATCTTCTCATGGATTGTGTATTTTCAAGCAGCTGAGAACTTTTTCGAAATGTCAAATTGCTTGATTAATGAGCATCATTGCCAGACTGATAAAAAACTAATTATCTGACTTACATCTGTTCCCAGTTCATTGTTCCCAATAACAAGTACCAGTTTTTAATAATTTTCCATGTATTCAATCAATTCAGTACATTGCTTTAAAACTAATACTTAATATATATTTATA